CTATTGGCCCCACTGACAGAATAATAAAAATCACTTTTATTATAATAGATATATTAAAATAAATAAATAATATAATAAATAAAATTAAAATACGAGTAATTGGTAAACTTAATTCCATTTCCAATTACAAACAATTGTAGCCGAACAGTTTCGCGCGGGTTAATTTTCATTAATAATAACCCACATACACAAATCTGTAGCTCCTAACTTTCATTTATTAAGTCCGTCCCTGACCAACGGCCCCATCTGTTGCATTTATTCATATCAGGTAGGACCATAGATACTATAGCAATTATTATTAATTATGACACTGGTTCTGAGAGAGATTCAACCATTTGATTGGAAATAAATAGAAATAGATTCTTGTAGATAAACGTGTCGATTGAATAGACAAAGATATAGAAACTTAATCTGTAGAGAAGCGTATTCAGCACCTTTCCGACACAAACGTCTGTGGGTGTATCATCATTCAACGGAGAGTTTCTGGGTCACCAACCAGCTATCGTTTATTTATTGTCATAAGCGGTTGCAACTAACAATTTCCCATATGTACGTTTGTAAATAAAATGTTAAATATCGTTTATTATTATTATTATTATTATTATTATTATTATTACAAATCTCCGATAAAGTTTTTTTCCTTCTCTGGATACAAAACCATTGTAATGAAAAGATTCCCCTGTCTTAGTTCATTTATTTGTGGTGGCGCGTTTAATACGAAACTCAATTTTATCCAAAAATCACCTGCTTGATTTTTTTAAGACAAGACTCGAATTTTAAACATGCAAGTGTGATTTACACGGTTGAAATATTTTCGTCGCTTTAAATGCGAAATAATTACGAATGCCTATACTGGTCGCCTCGATTACTATATCGCGAATCCCGTTAATTTTTTCTCTCTGTTTCTGCTTTTGGGACGTACTTAAGCAACACACGTACCAAATTTTGGATCTTTCTTACTTCTTATGATCCTGAGCTTGCTGTATTTGCAAGTGTAACTAAATGACACTAATTAAGAAGACAAAATATAATATAAATGCCAGACATCTCGACTTGAAAAATTTCCCGAACTCATTAAGAAACAAAGCCTCATAGAAAATAAACAACGCAGGAATAAACGCACGTCCCTTGCTCTACAATCGGTAAATTTAGATGATACGCAATTTTTTAATTTAAATTTCGCAAAAGTTTTTCACCACTAAATTTCGGAAAAAGTTAAATGCAAATTTACAGCCACCGTTACAACCTCTAGGGCTATGAAGAAAATCCACAGTTAGAAATGGGCCCTTTCTCTGAGATATATCCTAAAGGCGCTTTTTGGGAAGGCAAAGTTTTGACCCCAAACAGGCGAATTCACCAGGAGGTGCGAATTTATTGTTATACAAATGGAGAACGGATCCAACAAATAAGCGCGGCAATTTTTCTCCACTGGTCAAGCCAAGGCGAGGTATTCGCATCGGTCAAAGGTTAAATTTTAACTTTTAAACGGATGAATGGGATATTTTTAACCGTTAATTCATTTAATTTTAACGAGGATCCGTGCAAAAGAGCAATTAGTTATGTTTCTGAATTAAAAACTTGATTTTAATCCTTTGAATTAAATTTGTATAAACTATTTCGTGTTACGGTGGTGGTGGTTTCGTGAATATTAGCCACGCAAGCACCACATAAATAGGATTCTTACACCAACACAATTAAATGGCGTGTGACGTAAGTAGGTGCAATCAACTACGATAATTTCGAATTAAAGAATAAACCTGGGTGCTGTTTCTTTCAACTTCAAAG